GACCCTGTGTCCCCGCAGCTGGCCGACAGCGAGTTCTCCCCCGTCTTCCGCCTCCTGACCATCTTCGCCTACGGCACCTACGCGGACTACCTGGGTGAGGCCGGGCCCCGGGGCGGCGGGGGCACAGCGCGGTCCGGGGGCCCTTTCCCCTCCCGGTGATGCTGGTCCCTCGGTGCGGAAAACGTGCCGGAGCCCCCGGCCGCTGTAGACCCCCGCCCACGCTGCACCCTTCGCAGCAAGAGCCGTGCCTCCCGTCACCATGGCCTGACGGACACCCGATTGCGGTTTGGGCCCGAGACCACTGGAGTAGCTGACAATAATTCGTGCTACCATTTGCCAGCCGTGCGGGGGATTTCCAAGAATGTCTTGACAAAGACATTTTTGGGGGGCGAGGGGGAAGACTTAGGTATCCACTGGGATGTGCAGACCTCCGTAAATAAGGCACGGGACAGCTGGAGGGAATGACTTGAGGCTGAGGGGAGGGAAGGCTGCTCAGAAAAGGTCTTCCGAGCTGAGAATTAATGGGGATGGCTTGGCAAGACGAAGCATCGATTGGGGGATTGGTGTGCAGAAGCTTTAAGAAACGGGTATGGTGCAGATGCTTCTGTGCAGGGCTGGGAAATGGAAAATGAGGCATAAGTTCTTACACCCTGTTCTTCCCCCTGACAATAGCTGAAGCGGCAAACCTCCCTCCCTTGACAGAGGCTCAGAAGAACAAGCTGAGGCACCTGTCAGTCGTCACTCTGGCTGCCAAGATCAAGGTAGTGGCCCTATTTTTCCTCGAGTTCTCCTTCCACTGGCATTACCTCATGCTAGTTACCGTCATGTTTCCGCAGTGCATCCCCTATTCAGTGCTGCTGGAGCAGTTGCAGCTGAAGAATGTCCGGCAACTGGAGGACCTCGTGATTGAGGCTGTGTATGCAGATGTCCTGCGAGGGAGCTTGGATCAGCGGAACCAGCGCCTGGAGGTGGATTACAGCATTGGGAGGGACATCCGGAGGGAGGAGCTAAGCACCATCACCCGCACGTTGCAGGAGTGGTGAGGAGGAAGCCCCCAATACTAACACCCAAAAAAGGTTGCAGGAGTGGCCGGTGGCTTCCCCCGATCCTCTGTGTGTCGCAGGGGGGTAGTGTTGTGAGGTGGCCTACTTGATCCCCTTTCCCGTATTCCAACGGAAAGTAATTTTCCGAAAATAATTTTCCAAATTCCCCTGTTTGTTGCTGGAGGGGTGATGAGTCCGCAGCAACCTTTGCACAGTCCTGGCTGCTGGCAGGAGGCTTTCTGAGTATATATCTATAGTTCCCAACCTTGTGTCACTTTGTTATTTGTCCCCCTCCCAGGTAATAACGTCACTACGTTATTGCATTGGACTCCTGCTCCTGTGTCTTCCCGGCCTGGTGTAGCCGTCACCTTCCCGTCTTTTTGGCCTCTAGAGTTGAAATCTGTCATCTTTCATGTTTCTTTCTATGCTGTGTAAACTACCTGGCCTGTTCAGTTCTGCGTCTTCTCTCCAGGTGCCAGGGCTGCGAGGTTGTCTTGTCGGGCATTGAAGAACAGGTTAGCCGAGCCAACCAACATAAAGAGCAACAGCTGGCACTTAAGCAGCAGATAGAGAGCGAGGTGAGTGGGCCGAGGGGGGAACAGCCAGTGCCCCTCACTTAAAAATAACTAGAACCAGTATCCTGTGGTTGTTACTTCGCTCAAGTAAGGCATTACCTTTTCCCTAGGCCAGACCCCCCGGGGGTTGTGCCTGTAGAAGAGTCCTAAATCAGCTTAACACTCCTCTGCAGTGCAGAGGTCTGGACAGCTGTTAGCTCTTTTGTTTGACCTGAGCTTGCAGCCCTTAAATCCAGGGCTTGCTTTAAAACAAAAAAACAACCAAAAAAACCCCCCCGAAAACTACAAAAACCTAAACAAACTAAAAAAAAAAACCAAAAAACAAACCCAAAACAAACTACAAACCGTGGGAAATTCCTTGGTTCTTGCTTTTCTGCTGTTGCAGGTGGCAAACCTGAAGAAGACCATTAAAGTGACAACAGCAGCCGCCGCAGCAGCCACATCCCAAGACCCTGAACAGCACCTAACAGAGCTCAGGGAGCCGGCCCCTGGCACCAACCAGCGCCAGGCGAGCAAGAAAACTTCCAAAGCCAAAGGGTGAGGAGTGGGGGCAAACGAGCAGAGCCACTCTGCGTGTGTGTTCGGGAGGTGAACTGAGGGGAGCCCTGTTTCAGAGCAGTGAGGTTACTGACTGCAGGGGTCTGCTCCCTGGACATGGGATGGTCAGATAGGTAGTCCCAGCTGAGCTCGTCTCCTGCTAATTTGGGGGAAGATCTCTGCAACTCTTGATCTGAAGCAGAGTTTGTAAGTTTGCGTGCATTTGGAAAAGGAAGTCAGGGATGAGCCTTAGTGTCCACTCTGAATTGTGGTGGTGGTGGTGTGTTTTTTTTCTCTCTCCACAGGCTCCGGGGCAGCGCGAAGATTTGGTCTAAATCAAACTAGTTGGATCTCCCTTCACAACTGGGAGGGTGAGAGGAAGAGATTTGGGGGATGGAGGGGTAGCGAGGGTCCCAAGTGTGATGCTTCTGAGCTCTTCTGAGATCCATCTTGCCAGCTAATTCTCCTGCATGTTTGTTCTCTTTCCTATCTTCTTTACCAACTTTCCAGGCAGTGCCTCCCTCCTCTTCATCATAGCATTTCACACTCTAAGCTTCCAGTTATATGCGTTGCTGTTTCCCTTACCCCTCAAGCCCCCATCGCCACGGCCGTGTGTTTCTCTCTTTCTCTCTCCCTGTCTTTTGACAGGTCAATTTAAAGAGCCATAAAACTATGTCGGTCACCTTTGCACCCACAGGGCGTCACAGCACAGAAGCTTGGAAAGATTGCACTGGTGCTCAGCAATCATTTTGGCTCTATGAGACCCCTGGGATACTTTGCTCCAGGATGCAGCTGCCATCTTTGATTGTTTAATCTTTGTTTTGCTAGGTGGGAGGGTAGTTTTTGAAGGGATTCTTTTAAAAATATATAAATATATTATAAATATATATAAAACAATAAAAATATAGATCTATGGACATATCTATACAAACTTGTGCTCCTGTGGTGGTATCTCTTTGTCTCGTGTACTGATTCTGGACGTTCCAAAATAACCTGTGATATTGAGAGCCTCTATCCCATTTCTGGGTGGAATATATCCTCAAAATACTCGCTTCCTTTTCCAAAGGGCAGTGCCACAGTAGCTCAATAGAGCTGGGACAGGAGTCCATAAAGCAGGGATGAATCATAAATCTTATTTAAAGAGTTCCTCGTGTGATGGATTGCACGTGGAACGTTCAAAAGAGGTGCTTTTCAGGTAGTCTCAGAGGAAGGTGCAGAGATTGAGGATAAAGTGTCAATGCTATGTGCTCAGTGATCCTGGATGAAACGGAAAGTGATGTGGGGACTCGTCTGGCAGAGAGTTGAAGGTAGCGGAGTCAATGCCCATCTGGGTGAGTTTTCATGCTATAGATGCTGCTTAAGCCATTCTTGGCTGATGTTGGAGCCTGGTCGAAAAAGATCTTTTCAATTAAATCGATTCCTGTGAGATGCCCAGAAAAAAACATCAGATTCTTCAGAGGATGCATCCTTGAGACCGGCTTGAAGCCAAGTCAGATGGATGCAGGTGTCGCGCTGCTGTTCCAGGATGGTGTATGCTGATGTAAATGTAAATTGACACCGTGACTCCCACCCCCGCTTGGTTCTGCTGCTTTCCCTGTGCCAATGCTAAAATTTGATTGCCCGAACCTGGGTGCCTGTGCGTGAGCAAACCACTGGAAAATTAATCCAACAAGGGAAAGCCCTGATCTTTGTCTGCACGGAGATTTTTTCAATTCACTGGCCCGGGTGAGTTTTCTTCTGGGTCAGTTCCCTGTGCAGACAAGTGAGAGCTGGAGCTGAGGCAGCGTAGGTGGGAGCAAGCCTTGTTAAGGGGGGGGGAGGGGGGCTGAGACCATGCTTATTTTAGTGGTAGCAAGGTGTGATGTCATCTCACTCACTACTCAAACACCACAAAATGCTGGTTTGTGCAGTACTGCTGTTTTACTAATTCTGGAGTGCTGTAGTACAGCACTAACTCTCAGTGGGAAACCCCTGTCACCTGAACCCGTGAACTCGTAAAACTTTCAAGCAGCTTTCTCCCCTGTGTGTAAGGGCGCAGGGCAGGGCATACCAGCCAGCCGTGCCAGGGGCAGGGATGTGCCGAGCTGTCCTGGGGCGACTGCTTGTCACTGGCTTAGGTCTCCCAAGAGCTAGGGCAGCCCCACACTTTTCCCCCATTCTGCGCCCTGAGGCATCAAGCCCCTTAGCTGCAGTCATCTGGCAAGAAAGTGCCGAGTAGGAGAGGTTTGGCATGAAGTTGTCCAGACGAGAGGTGCAAATCTGGCTGCAGGAGTGCGTAAGGGGGCAGCTCAGCCACGGGTTGTCTCAGCCCACCTAGAGAGGTCTGGCTAATGTGCAGCAATAGGGAGTCTACTTGATGAGTCCTGTTTTCCGTAAGTTGCAGGGACGGGTTGTGACAAGGCTTTCAGCTTTTGTTTACGTTACCGCAAGCCTTCCTCCTCTGCATCGCATCACCTTCGTCTGTCTCTCTCAATGAGGAGAGTCACCGTGCTCACTGCATTTGCGATTGTCTGCAAGGAGCAATAATGTCTGTGCTCATCAGATTCTCTCGCTCCCTGGGAAGGGCTAGTCTGGGACCAAGATGCTGATGGGGAGGTGATACCTGGCAAGCCCTGAGCACCTGCCAAACGTCTGGCACCTCACGTCCTTTGAAAAAGGAGCCGCTTGCAAAGCCGTTGGGGTGTGATGTGAAGGAGAGGAGAATGGGCTTGGGATGGAGCCGAGCAGCCAAAGCATGTGTCTTAACAGCCGGCTGAGGTCCAGCAGGAGCTGGGCTGGAGCGGTGGTGGTAACAGGGCTGGAGTGGTGGCACCTCCAGGGAAAGCTGAAGTTACCAATAATGGAGGAGGATATTTGTGCCCCACAGAAGTCCCACTGCCACTTAGGAGGAGTAGCCGTAACAGCTCTTTGTCCCCAGTGTTGGCTCCTCTCTGGCCTGTTGGGCTTTGCTCTCTTTAACCACACTGTGGCTATTAGGCACAAAGGGTCTTTTTAAACACCCTGAATTCACGGTTTAAATCCAGGCTGCAGATTCTGGGAGCGGAGTTGGAAGTGTCCCGAGCCAGCACTGAGAGCTCCACGCCAGTCGCACATGATACGCTTGTGTGAGTGCCCTGCACAGCACACGGCAAGGCGGAGCAGTGCCTGAGCTCCGCACGCACACTGGCATTGGTCTCGTAAGCACAAAAACCCGTGCACGGGTGACAGCAGCCAGAGCGTGGACCAACACGGGGTCCTGGGGGGGCTTGCCACGCCAGGCCTAGGCTGTGCTGAAGCCCCAGGCTCGGATCCTCATGGCTAAATCCCAGCCATTGCGAGTCTGCCTGTGTGATTCTGCCATAACTTTGTTTTGTGGCATCCAGCTTTCCCCCAGCCTCCAAGGCTCAGCTCAGCTCTCCGATGGCGGCATTTGCCAGGCACAGCCATAGGCCTTGCTCCCCCTTCCCATTTTCTTATTTGCCCCTCTCGAGGCTCGTTGTGTTGTGGATTTCTGAAGAGTTTGGGATTAAATGTATGTGCTCAAGGGGCATCTGCACAACTCTGAAAGTCTTCCATTTTGTTTACTTTTCAAAGGGAACACCTTTTAAGACCTCCATTAAGAAAAAGGAAGCAGAAAGTAGCAGATAAAATTACTTCAGACCTTTGGTATGACTGAAAAATAAATGAGAGGTGTGCAGTGCAGAATGAAAATATTGCTGCAGATTGCCTTGCCGGATGGCAAACAGTGGGCAGGAGCATAGGTTTCCCTTTGCCCTTCCCCTGAAAACCACGCTTTTTTATTTTCCTGCTCACTTCAGCCATGACTGAATTTCAGTCAGACAGGCTGTGAAGATTAATTAATTAGTTAACATTTGTAAATCACTTTGCAGATGGCAAGAGTGAGGTAAGTACTGAGCATTATTATTACAGGTTTTCATTTTAATTTTAAATGTCTTCGTGTTTTTAACCCTGTTTTCTCCTGAAGAAAAGACTGAGAAAACAGTCCCCGAGTAGAGCAGAACGGAAATACCTGGACACACGACGCCCTAAGCCCCGGCAAAGGACTGAGGTTTAGGGGATTGTAGAAGAGAGGGTATGGCGAAGCGTTCGTCCCAGCTTGAGGAGCAGGAGGTCTGCCAGCCCCAGCACAGAAAATGTCATGACTCTTGCACAGTGATGCGTTGCGACCCCTCTTTGGGTATTATACGTGGGACTTTCACATCTGGATTCAGGAAAGGGAAGAGGTAGGGCAGGACCTATCCCTGCTCCTCCAATTCACATCTGGCTGGGGTCCGAGTTTTGCCAGCCACCCTGTGCTGAGCGGTAGCCACAGATTCTCATTAGGAATCATGGTTAATGAGGGTAATTCTTTTGCATTACTGGGGGGCGCAATTTCTTCTGGGGCGCTTGCTGTTCCCCTTCTTGAAGGTGATGGGGTCAGACACCACGGTGCCAGCAGCCCAGCATCTGCTGTGGTGCCCATCTGTACCCGGTGAGGGGAGAGGAGCCTAACAGCTGGGCAAGCGCCCTGCAGGACTTGCCCATGTTCTCCCCATCCTCTGGTGGTTCGTGCTGCAGGACCTTTGGAGGTAGAGGTGGTCTTTGTGCTTAATGGCCCTCAGCAGGGCTCCCCTCAAAGGGAGCCAACATTTTGCTTATGGGGGTTGCCGAGGCTGCCCTTGCCTCTGTTCCCCAAATGAGACATACAAGGGGGTCGTTTCTGGTTTTTGATGAACAGGTGGGCTGGTGTGTATCAAAGTATCTGTAAAACATTACCAAGCCTCCTTTGTGCCGGGCCACACTGGCTGGGGGGGGATGTCTCATGACAGCAGGTTTCCCCAGGCTGGTCCGGGGTGACCCGGGAAGATGGCAGCCTTGCCTCCGCTCAGCAGCAGGATACGCGCCCACCGCCTCCATCCTCCTGCGGGTCCCCAGTGCCAGCCAGGGAGTGGGTGCTGCAGCATCCTTCAGGGCTGCGAGGACGCTGCAGAGGTCACGGTGATGCTGGCCAGCTTGTGTTTACCAGTCTGTGGGATTTTCATGTGGCTGTGTGGTCCCCCAGAGCTAAAAGCAGGGATGTCTCACCTCTGCTCTAACGGGGCATTGGTTCACCTCCTCTCGGAAGGCTTTTTGTGGAAGGTGGGTTCCTGACAGTCTGGTCTGTTGGGTGAACCAACGTAGACGGATGGGTGTCCTGGTCTGCTTCCCACGGGGCCATACCTTCTTGCAAAGGCTCCCTGCCGACAGCAGCCACTGAGGATTGTGCCTGCCTCTTGCCACGGCTGGACCAGGCACCCTGGGATGAGGCCCTGGCTCTGCAGGACTACGACATAGTGCACGGCAGCGTAGTTGAAAGAGTCCCGTGGTCCACGTCAGCAGCTGCAAATGCATCTCTCAGATCCCTGACATCCTTCATGTCTCCTTTTTATGCCCTGGAATAGCTGCTCATTTTCCTTCTGTGACCCCTTTCCATCTTTGCCATCCTCTCCATGGGCGTCTTTGTGTTCCCACCCGCAGGGCTCTTCTTTCCTCATCCCTTTTCCTAGTACTACTCAGCACTTAGCTGCGAAACTCAGAAAAAAACACCTGCTTTCTCTACTGGTTCCTCAGCCACCCACCTCTTGGGTGTTTCTCTCTGGGGCTGCTCCAGTTTTCCAGGAGCATCCCTGCCGGTGCGGTGTGGAACTGGGCTGGATTTTCCTCTGCCTCCTCTCCTGGTGGCAGGCTCTTCCACTGTTGGGGAAAGGAGTTTGTTTGCAACAAAATTGTTTGTGCAATGTGCAATTATATTCATGTTGTGATTAATTCAATAGATACTGAAATGTCAGCTGGATTCAAGAGCCCTGACCCTTACACAGCTAACAAGAACGTCCAGAATTACTGCAGCACTTGTGCACGCATTAAAAGCAACTCTAAGCCCTCCTGCTCCAAGCACAAGTGAGCC